TAAAATAGGCTATTTTTTGTTTCAAAAAAACCTATTTATAATAGCTATAAAATACAATTAAAACAGAGTTCTAATAGGTTTAATATAGGATTTGTATATGTGATAGCAATATGATAGGGTTGAAAATAAAATAGCTTTTCTATAGGAATAAAATAGAAAGTAAAATAGGGATAAAATAGGGTTAAAATAGTGTTGATTTTCGTAAGGGCAGTCCCAGCAACCCAAATCCCATTTTCCCAGTCTAAATATAGATCAATCCCACTTCCCATTTTACCCCTTCAGGACCCTCGTTTAAGTTCGTGCTGAACACTCAAAAACGTGAGAATACAACCATGCCACTCCACGATGGGATATCTAAATATTGTTGGTCATTTTCTGGAACGCAGAAATACGCGTAACAAATTTCAATTTTATCAACAGTAGTTTTTGTGACGCCAATATAGTTCTTGTGATTACGAAAGTAAAAAACTAAAACAAGGACGAATAGCATTCACCACGAATACTTAGCCATGACACAAGTAGGTTTAAAAGACAATTACTAACCATTTTGAATGCCAGTATCTACTTGAATGCGGAAGAAAGTGCGTGAAAATGAAAGAAAAACGCATTAAAATTTATATATTCGTTATATTGGACATATACGCCACGTCTGCTGGCGTCGGCAGCTGTTTCCTATTCATTTTTGTGTTTTTGGCCACATCAGTCATCACATTTAAATGTCTAAAATTCTTACCTGCTGCTGCACAGTAAGCTAGGTTACACTGGTCCGGTGGTTTCAGTTCATAGAGAAAGAAACTTCCACATTTAACAACTTTGATATTGTATTCAGCATAACAGGTAGAAACCACAGGTAATTGTTGTTGAGCACAAGCTGTAACATTTGTAACCACATAGTCAACCGTTGGATGTTTCCCATTCATCCATATGGGAATATTGGTTCCACAACGACCGATGCCAGGATTTTTTTCGGGCAGCATCTCATTGCCCGCCGTGCTCTGAAATCTGTACCATGCCCCATTTTTAATTAAATCCCGATCACACAAGTCGGTAGTTTCATTATACGCTATATTGCGTCGAGTGTCATTTAGAGTAGTATAATTGTTCCTGCTACAAGGCCCATTTGCGTTATTTTTACCGACCTGATCTAGAAACAGTAAAATCAAGAGACTGCAGAGCGTAGCCATAGCTGAATACGCCACCAACAACTGTACGTACACAATAATTTACGGCTTCAATCGAAAGACGGAAATACATAGTGACGTATTATTAAATTATAATATACAGGAAAAAATTAACACGTTCTCCCATTGGTATTAAACAATTATTGAATGAGGTCGAGTAGGATATGAGGAATTATTAAGGCCAAGGTTTGTGTTATCTGAGGGTCCTGAAGGGGGGGGGGGAGTCGTATTCCCATTTCCCAGCCCAAATTTTGACTAAATCCCATTGTCCCAGAGCACAAATCCCATCATCTCTGTGGCTGTCCTGCTCAAATCTTAATCCTATTCCCATTTTCTATTGTTTTTTTGCTGATGAATCCCAGTACCAGTGCATGAAATCCCATTTTCTCACCCAAAAATAAGCAGATCCCAGTTCCGATTTTACCCCTTCAGGACCCTCTTATCTGCCGAAGGCTGGGGCAGATAGCACAAACCGATGCCATAATTACTCATATCCTGCGAGAACCGAATTCAATAATTGTTTTATTATTTATTTGTACATATTTCGGACTGAAGCTGCTGAAAATGGAACAACAATAATATAGTGTTCCGAAACATTAGCCGCATAAATTAGCGTGACGTCATAGCGTGTTAGGCCTGTTTCATACGTCGAATCGAATTTAATTCAGACGAATTTAATTCATTGTTAAATTCGTCAATTGGTCGACATTAAAATGGTTTCGTTTCAAACGACGAATATAATTCAGACGTTTCCGTCTGACCATGACGGATAAAACGTCTTGGACGAATTTAATTCATCAGACGAATTTAATTCGTTTCATACTATGCACTACCGTCGCATTTAATTCGTTCAATTAAATTCGTCTGAATTAAATTCGAGGATAATGCGACGTATGAAACAGGCCTTACATTGTTTCGCAATATATTATACCACGAATTTACCTCAAACGTGGTATATCTGCTTTCATTATTCCAAGGTAATGTTATAACTCCAAATTTGAGCATCTACCGAGCGGATATAACGATTTCACCAAACAGCTCGTAGCCAATCAAAACTCTTGAATTATTTTCAATAAATAAGAACAATGGCTAGACCCGGAAAAAGTGTGTTTGCGGGATTCTGAGGAACATTTGCCTGAGTAACAAGACTGAGAAACATTGTGTATTTTCCACATTTTAAATAATCTAATCGTGTTTCAGATCATAACGTGAAACAAAATTAACTCCTTTCAACAGTATGAACAATAATCTTTCCTTGCCAATTTTCCATAAAATTAATAATAGTAATATAAAGAGTTTTAGATTCTGAGGATTTTATTACAAAATTATAGTATAGTATTAATGTGGTATTAAACCATAGGTGTACAACCAAGTTGTATTAACACTCATGCAAAGCGGAAGAATATTTTTCTTCAGTATTTAAGCTGAGGGCACTCCG